AAGTTTTTGAATACACAGATCTAGTCATGTCATTCCTCCGATCAAAATTTTTCAATTACCTCCTAAATCAGATGTTTACTCTTTTGCCTGGCATTCAAAGTCCTGAGTTATCTGCCTACCTTTGTAGCTTTCTCTCACATTTATAACCCCCAAACATTTTTTTCTCTAATCAGTTTGTCTACTGTCTGTGCCAAATACTCCATCAAATCTCTGTGCCTTTGTTCATGTTCTTATTCCCTGTGCCTCGAATGTCTAATTCCCCACCCCTCTTTACCTGTTGATTATCTAGCCACCCTTTAATGAATGACTCAAATGGTACTTGCTACATGAAACCTTCCCTAATTCTCCTTTTTGGTAATGGCCCTCCCTCTCACTTCCTCTCTAATGCATCTATTGTGAACTGTTGTATATCAGAGTTTAATCCATCAATCAACAAGCGTTTATTAAGTGCTTACTCTGTGCCAGGCACTAAGTGCTGAGGAGAAACCAAGAAAAAATAGTCCCTTCCTTCAATGACCTTACATCTGAGTGAATGAGACGACATATAAATAAATAAGTACAGAGAAGACACAGGCAGAATAGATGGAAGAGGATCTTAAAGGAATAATCTTGGAGGAAAAGGTGCTAACCATTGCCAGGATCGAGGAGAATGAGAAAGGCTCCTTATAGAAGGTGGGATATGAACTGAGTTTTAAAGGGGATTCTAAGAGGTGGAGGTAAGGAGAGCAAGCATTCCAGACGTGGGGGTGCAGGTAGGGGCAGGGCAGTCAGTGGGAAGGCACCAAGGCAGAAGATGAATGTTATTTTCAAAGAACATCAAATAGTCTTTGTGTATGTGTCATTTCCAGTAGACCATAACTTATAACTACATGAAAGCAGACACTTGGCATCTCTTACCCTTAGCATTAAATGGTGGGCATTTAATATTTGTTGAATTTTAAGTGTCTGTGATCATTCTTCTTGACACTTTATTGCCTGTTGTTCTTTATTTCTCTATTAATTGGATCTAAGTCTTCTCTTGCCTCTGAGCCCAGGCAGCCAGGAGGCATTGTGGCTAGAGTACTAGATTTGGAACCAGAAGGATCTGAATTTAAATTCTGTGTTGGACACAACTAGCTTCATGACTTTATCAGCCTCAGTTTCCTAATTTGTAAAATGGGGATAATAATGGCATCTAATCCTCATTATAATTGTTGTAAAGATCAGATGAAGTAACATGTAAAGTGATTCACAAGTCTTAAAGCATTTGTCAGTTAGTAAACATTTATCAAGTGCCGAATGTATACAAGGGAGTTGTTGTCATCATAGTCATTGTAATCATCATCACCCAAAGACTGTCTTTTTTTTTTAACCCCTATTCTGTTAGGTGGTACAGAAGACCTGAGTTCAAATCTCTCAGATACTTACTAGATATATGACCCAGGGCAAATTCCTTAACCTCTGTTTGCCTCATTTTCCTCATCTCTGAAATGAGGATAAAAAAAGCAGCTACCTCATAAAGTTATTGTGAAGATCAAATGAAACAATATGTATAAAGTGCTTAGCATAGTTCTTCGCACATAGTAGGCATTTAATAGATTCCTTCCCTCCCTCCCTCCCTCCCTCTCTCCTTCCTTCCTTCCTTCCTTCCTTCCTTCCTTCCTTCCTTCCTTCCTTCCTTCCTTCCTTCCTTCCTTCCTTCCTTCCTTCCTTCCTTCCTTCCTTCCTTCCTTCTTTTTCTCCTTCCCCGCTTGGAATTGTTGAGTCCAAAGGATCCAGTTTTTTCTTCCATAAAATGTGAATTTCTTCAACTCCTTCAGAATAGGTGGCACCACCCAAAGGAAGCAGCTAAGTGAAAGAAATAAAATGTCCAAATTTACCATTCGTTTATTTGGGGAAAGGTGTTAGATGAGGAAAGGTTTTGCATTTCTGAGTCTTTATCCTTGAGCTGGGGAGAATGTCTTAGGCCTTATTTAGCAGAGCCACAGATGAGTCCTCAGGCTGTACTTGGGATGGGATGTCATGAGTTTTCCCATTCCAGTGGCTTGAGTTGATCTGACATGATGGCCTTTGACTGCATACTTTTATTTCCTTTATAAGTATTAACTTTCTTGGGCTTTGTTATCTGGGACTGGGGCAGTTTTTTGGTGCTATATGGAGTGTCTGGTTCTCTTTGGGGACATTGCCCCTCATTCCACCCCATGACATAAGAGTCAGCAGAGTGAGGCAGTTGAGGGGTCACTCTTGGAAAGCACACATTTCTTTGCTTGTCACATCTCAAAGCCAGGCCAACACAGAGCAGAAGCAGCTGGCAAGCCTCTGGCCTCTGCTGCCTAAGGTCAGAGGATGGTTTTTCTTCCTGTTTGGTAAATTTAACCCCATTTAAGCATCAGCCTTTGCTTAATAGCACGTACTCACCACTGACCTCTTTACAAACTGTAAGTGACAGTTCACATAGCCAAATGGAAACTTAGCCCAGCATCTAGGAGCTCTGGGATCAGGTTTATATGTTGGAGCAAGTCATGACAGCTGAGTATCCCAATGGATTGATGGAGAATTTTCCTCCTGGGCAGGATAGAAGGTAGAACATGGGTTTTTTTTTTTTAAAGCTCAGTCTTTGTGCCTCCTACATGACATCTTTAAAACTGACATGAGAACAGATACAGGATGGTTTCTTCCATTGTTCAAAACATATCTATCAAATATCTGGAGATACTCAAAGCCAAGAGCAGTTCTAAATAAATGCTACCCTTAATTGCTCACAAGTACATTAAATAAGTGTTAGGACCTAAGGTTAGGCCATCTCCATGGTAAAATTATTGACTCATATCTAAGGAAATAGAGAAGATTCCAACAATAGAATCTTGTTGTTAGATTGATTCAAAAAATATACAGTCCTCCCCACCTCCCATTCCCCCAGTCACCATCTTTATAAGTCAGATAATGGGTTTGGAATAAATGATTTCCAGTGTATCTCCCAGCTCTTTTGTGTCTGTATTCTATGTTCTTGTTCTGCTCTGACATTCTTTGAGTGAGTGTATTATGGCAACTGGGAGATAAATTATCTCTAAGCTATACCATTGTTACCCATAGTAGGGGTCAGATTTAATCTTCCTGCTCTAGCAATTATGAGAGAATCATAGGATATAGAGCTGGGGAGAGACCTTAGAGTCAAAACTCTTTCATAAAATGATTGTTTTCTTTTCTTTCCGCTTGATGTTTTGAGCTGGGGACAGTATATGTAATGTTTTATAATGTGATGTATAAAAAGTTTGAGAAACAGTTTCTGGGTAATTAATCATTTTATTAATCATACTCAAAATAATTAATAAAAGGTGTCAATGGGACTCTCAAATGCCATTGGAATGCCATGTTCAAAATAATTAATAAAAGGGGTCAATGCCATGGAATCCACTCAGCACTTGTATGCCCTTGGGAGAGTGGGTGTTTCTGAGGGTGGCAATCAATTCTGATTGGGTAACAATTGATGAGAAGAGTGAATATTGTAAGGAGAGGTGGGTTTTTTCTAATGAGGGGCTAAGGAACTTGACTCAGTCTTGGACAAAGAGACTTATCTCTTATCTAGACTACCCTGCCTAGGGCCGTCTAGACACAAGGGGGGGCTCCACCTCTGCTCATATATGGCTAAGTGGAACAAGATGAGCCAGAATTAAACAACTCCAAGATTTTGTCTTATCCTCTATCTTCAGAGAACCAAGATTTGACCTAATTTTCAAATGAGGAAGGGAAAAAATCCTGGATATCCCCAATATTTGGTTATTAAATAACCATTTCTCTCAGCACTGTATCCATTGCACCACCTTTTAATGACTAACATTTCTACAGGACTTCAAGATTTGCAAAGTGCTCATCATCTCATTTGAGGGGGAGAGGGAATGAGCATTTATGTAATGCCTACTATGTCCAGACGCTCTGCTAAGCACTTTTTGCAAATATGTTATGTAATATTTTAATATGTCAGTGTTTTTCAACTGTTTTCAGTATACACCTAGGAGTAGCCTCTTTGGATTAAAGATGATGGGCTGTTTTTTTTCTTTTACATAATTTCATATTATTTTCCAGAATGGTTGGACCAATTTAACAGTGTATATACCAAGAGTGTGATAGTGTGCTTGTTTTATTGAAGCCTCTCTGGCATTGATTATTTCCATCTTTTGTCATCTTTGCCAGTTTTCTACATGCAGAAAGAACCTTGAAGTTGCTTTGGTTTATGCTTTATTGTTTGTGATTTTGAGCAATCTTTCAAGTCATTAATAGTTTGCAATTTTTCTGGGAACCATTTACTCATATCCTTTGTTCATTTGTTCATTGAAAACCACTTGATTTTTGGAGCCAAAAATGTACATTTGGTCTCATCCAATACACTACATACCTCCAGGTTACAGACACAATAGCATGGATTATCTAACCGTAGAAAGCAAATAAGTACTGTGTGGGACCTTGTAAATTACATATTCTCTCTATGACTCATTTTCCCCATAATTTCTGGTGTCTTCTCCTCACTCTTCCATCATACTCTTTCAAAGAAATGTAAGGGACTATGTGTATGGCACTTGGAATATTGTAGAGAAAAGTGATGCCTATATCTAATTAAGTAGAGATTAGGGTTGGGGAAAGGTAGGAGAGAGGGGAATAGTCTTCCAGCCACTCTCATTTTAGAAAGTCCATTTTGTGTTTGGATTTATGTTTCTTGAATGGCACAAGGTCATGAAGGTAACTGACCTAGTGTATCATTATATCATTGTCTTGACATGCTGTCTTCTATACCTTGAAAATTTTTCTGAACCAGGCATTGGTTTGAAATGTCAAAGCTTATGTCTTATCCTGAAGATCAGACCTGCAAATTAATTTGTTAGTTTGGTCATCATTGTGTTTCTATATTTAAAAAAATCCAGATAAAATGTGCCAAGCCAACAGTTTTGTACATCCACAAAATATTCTATTGTTATTTTTCTATTTCTTGGCAAATTACAAAAGCATCTCTTTTGCCTTCCCCTCAGGTCATCTCTGCAGTGTCTAGACTCTCTCTGCACAGTATTGCACAGAACAAAGGAATTAGGTAAGTTTTTGCTGTGCTCAATAAGTGATAAAGCTGTATGTGTGTGTATGTGCTTATCACTGTCTGCTGCTGGCCCAGCTTGTCACAGACATTGGAATTTTAAGCAAACATCTTATAGCCTGGTCCTTTTTCCGCACATTTTCAATGTGTCTTAGAATTACCTTTTGACTTCAGCTCAAAAAGAGTGGAGAAGATGAAGAAAAAAAATAACACTAACCTTCAATTCACACTAGGGAAATCTTGCAAGCATGTTTCTTATGACTGCAAAATCTTTTTCGATTTAGGTAATGAGATCAGCCAATTAATCCTTTCACAGATCATTGCCTACATAAATGCAATGGAAAGATCAGGAAGGTTTTGGTGTGAATTAAGTAACCTCCACATTTGTAGCTATCAGGGGGCAGATGAAAGGACCTGATCTTATTAGGATTTTGATGGCCTTCTAACTGAACCTCCAAGGGGTAGGCTGGAACAGAGACAGTGTAACACTGTGAACAGGATGCTGGACTTGGAGCCAGGAAGACCTGGGTTCAAACCTCACGCCTGATATTTAGTGGTTGTGTGATTCTGGACAAGTCACATAATCTTTCTGAGTCTTGGTTTCTTCATCTGTAAAATGAGGTGCTTGGGCTAGATGGCCTTGTAGGATCCCATCCTACTCTAAATTAAAGATTGGATGCATGTATACACATACATAAATTTATAGTTATTTCATATTTGTATGTACATTGTGTGTATATATACGTGTATGTATAGTGTGTAAATATATGTGGAGAGAGAGGGAAGGAAGGAAGAAGGAAGGACAGATAGAAGGGCAGGGATAAGGGGAAAAGGAGGAGAGAAGCCATCTGAACATTTATTTATTTATTTGTTTGTTTATTTATCCATTTATTTTTTGGTGAGGCAATCAAAGTTAAGTGACTTGCGCAGGGTCACACAGCTAGTAAGTGTCAAGTGTCAGGCCAGATTTGAACTCAGATCCTCCTCACTCCAAGGCCAGAGCTCTATCCATCTCCCCACCCAGAGGCCCCTCAGCATCTGAATTTTTAGAAGGATGTAGTCAGGGGTGTGTTGGAGCCAAGTCAGGCTGGATTGTGAGAGCAGATTGTTAAATTTTTAGTGTGAACATTTGCACCTCAGAAATGGGCAATCTATTAGGACTTCTTTTTTTTCTGATTGCCTGGTCTTATGAAAGCAATGAAGAAAATATTAGTAATGCAGATTAAACTTAAAAGTATGTCATGACTACTTCCACCTCTTCCCCAGCCCCATCCCCCCCCATCCCTGTCAGCCAGTTGTTAAACATTTACCACATACCATTGCATGTGGTCCAGAATTTGTGTTTTGAGAACTTAGGGACTGAGAGACACACTGATACAGATCCATTTGAAACTTAATGAGCTAAATAAGGAATTGAACAAGAATAGAACCAAAATGTGAGTGGGTAGTGAGGTATTTGTGCCAGACGCCGATCAACGATGAGAGTGCCCTGAATGGCAGTCTTCAGCATGTGCTTAGAATATAGGACAGGAAAGTGGTTTTGTGTCCAGTGCAGATGGTTTTAAACAAGGTCCTTTTTGAGCCAGAAAGCATAAAAAGGAACTATTTTGGAGTGTACCTGTGTGGCAGGGTGTGTTGAGAGAGCCACCCACTCTTTCATGTGTTGAAAGAGTTACTATATTGTACATGTGCACGTGTATAGTATACATAGCAAATTGGCTTTAAAATTAGAAGTCCATTGAACTTGACTTTGATTTGTGGCAAAATTCTAGAACATGTAATTAAAGTTGTGATTGATGAACACCTAGAAAAGAAAGAAAAGCTCACAACTCACCAGTATGTCCTCATCAAGAACAGGTTATGTCAGACCAATGTAATTGCTTTTTTTTTTTTTGACAGGTCTGCCAGAGTGTTACATCTAGGGCTGCTGTATGAGGTATAGTTTGGCTAGGACTTAGAAGAGAGAATCTGAGAAAGACTCTGGCACTCTTGCTGTAGATACAGTGGAGAGTATTGGCCCAGGCAGTAGGCCAGTTAGGTAGATTCTGCATTGGTTGAATGGGTGCAGACTTTAAGAGTAGTCATTAATGGCTCAGTGTCACTGTAGAGAAAGATCATCAGTAGAGTGCCCCAGGGTCTGTGTTTGCTCCTGTCATGTTTCAACATTTTCAATCAATGACTTGGATAAAGATATAGATGACATTTGTAAGATTTGTAGATAGTACAAAAGTTGGGTTAACAGCTGCCTTGTTGGATGTCTGAACCAGGATCTAAAAGGGTCTGAACAAGGAATAATGTTGGGAAGGATCTAATAAATGAAATGTAATAGGAACTACAATAGGGATAAATGTAAAGTCTTGGGTTAAAATATTTAACTTCACAAATACAAGATGGGGGAGGTATGACCAGAGAACAGTCTCAAAAATACCTAGGGGTGGAATGTGAGTCAATTCTGTGACATGGAAGCCAAGAAAGCCAGTGAAATCTTAGGCTACTTTAAGAGAGGCATAGTGACTGATACTGGAAGGTGATAGTACTGAGAACATTTTTTTAGCCTGACCACTTCTAGAATGTTGAGTTCATTTCTGAGAGTGTGGCATGGGTCATGGGATGATGGATCTGAAGTCAAGAAGACCTGGTTCTAAATCCCACATTGAGAGCTGTGTGAGTATGGACACATGGTGCTGTGTGCCTTAGTTTCCTTATCTATAAAATGGGCATGGGGCCGCTACGTGAAGAAGTGGATAGAGTACCAGGCCTGGAGTCAGAAAGAGCTAAGTTCAAGTCTGGCCTCAGACACTTCCTGGACAAGTCATTTAACCCTGTTTGCCTCATTTCCTCTTCTCTAAAATGAGCTAGAGAAGGAAATGGCAAATCACTCCAGTATCTTTGCCAAGAAAACTCCAAATGGCCTTTTTCTCCCCTTCTATCCCTTCCTTTCCCCTTCCTTCCTCCTTCCCTTCTCCTCCCCTCCCCCATCTCCATCCTTTCTTCTTCTTCCCTTCCCCGGCCTAGATGATGCCTTGGTGGACACGGCCAAGGAGGCCAGGGAGCCCGCCGAGGGGGACATCACAGGACTGTGCCAGGATATGTTCTCCAAAATGGCCACATACCTAACCGATGAGCTGACAGCCACCAGTGAAGACTATAAACTTCTGGAAAATATGAACAAACTGACTGGAAATGAAAGATATTGCAGTAAACATAGGTAGAAACCTAAAGGACTTAAACCAGAAATATGCAGCACTTCAGCCTTATCTGGATCAGATCACTTTAATTGAGGAGCAAGTAGCAGCTCTGGAGCTGGCAGCTTACAAGTTGGATGTATATTCAAAGAAACTGGAAGCAAAGTACAAGAAGTTAGAGAGGCGATGAAAACATTCATTGGCACAAAGACTTTACAAGAATGTTTCCTAAGAGCTGAAATAAGTGCGATGGAACTTATCACTATGCTTCCGTTTCTAAAAGGAAGCGGTGCTGCTGATCCAAGGAGAATCCCAGCCCTCACCTCTGGTTGGATGTTTAACTTGGACCACCCCTTGAGGTTTCCTCAACCTGTAGCCCCTGGAACCTCATCTCATCGTGTGCTTCATTGTGTGCCCTGGGCCAAGGCTCAGAGATCAAGATCAACCCGGTCTGGAGCAGACACAGAGGAGAGGCTCTCATCTCCCTGCCTCCTCCCTTCTTCCCTCTTCCTTAGGCCTCCCCCCACCCTGTTCCTCAACTTAAATAATAAATGCCGATTTATGACCCTCGAAAAAAAACCGACTCCAAATGGGATCAGGAAGAGTCAGAAATGAGAGAAAAGACTGAACCACAACAAAAATGGGTATCACAAAATTTGTTGTTATGTACCTTGTGGAATTATGCTGAGCATCAAGTGAGGTACTATATATAAAGTGTTTTTCAAACATTAACATGTATATAATTTTCAGCTATTATTTATTGTGATTAGTGCCACATTTTTGGCAGAACACTGACAAGATAGAAAGTGTTCAGAGGAAGACAACCAGGTTCATGAAGAACTGTGCCATACAAGGATCAGTTGAAGAAACTCAGTGTTCAGGTTGGAGAAGAGAAGATTTAGTGAAGGCAAGATTTGCTTGAGTGTTTGAAGGATTGTCGTATGGATTAGATAGATTTGATTTATCTTCCTTGGCCTCAAATGACACAACTTAAGAGGACTAGGTACAAATCACAGAGAAGCTAATGGAGAAGAGAAGATTTAGTGAAGGCAAGATTTGCTTGAGTGTTTGAAGGATTGTCGTATGGATTAGATAGATTTGATTTATCTTCCTTGGCCTCAAATGACACAACTTAAGAGGACTAGGTACAAATCACAGAGAAGCTAATTGACACTCCATTGAAGAGAAAACTTACTAATAATTTGAGTTATTCAAAAATAGAATGCCTCTAGAGGTAATGGTGGGTATTCCCAATAACTGGAGGCGTACAAGTGAACCATAGATGGCCAGTCATGTAGATTGGCCTGGTAGGGATTAGAACAGATGATGTCTCTAATGGCCATTCCAAAGCTGAGGTTCTGTGACTTGAGTTCTAGACTTGACTCTGTCAACAGGAGTGGGGCTGTGTGTGTGTGTGTGTGTGGGTGTGTGTGGGTGTGTGTGAGATGTGAAGCTCAAATGAGATTATGGATATTGGTGTTGTTGTTAGCCTATAGTCCCCAGGCCTCCAGTCTAATTATGACTTCGTTTTCTGAGCCTTCTACTACACTCTTGAGCTAAAGCAATGTTTATAGAGCATTATAGGGGTTTGCTGGCAAATGTTTAACAACCTGGCTCTCCTTAAAAGAAATGTACATGTATTTTAAAGTGTAAACTGCATTATTAACACTTTCTTAAGTCTATAGGTTCCCAAAGTGGGTGATACCACCCCCCTGAGGGGGCGGGCACTGGAACAATCTGGAGGGCAGTAGTATCCTTGGGTGAAATTGGGAGAGGCCTTGAATAAAAATAAGGGGGTGGTGGAAACATAAGGAA